ATTTCATTTTTTTTGAGATCAAACCTTTAGCAACATAGTTCTGATCTTTGGCGTATATTCTTGTATTCTTTACTCAACAGACATATTACTAGGATGTGTTAATCCATAATATATACATTTTCATATTCTTTTCATACCTTAATATTTTCATTGAACTCTACAGTTGCTGTATTGTTCTCATTATAAATTTATTTTGATTGATTAGTTCAGAATATGATTTACATAGAAGAAAATGAAATCATAAAATCTATTAAACGGTGAGTTGTAGAAGTGACGAATCGACGAATGTTTTCGGGGAAAATAGCTGGAGAAATGTAACACGATTATAAAACATATTAAGTATAATATCCGCAGAGACTAAAACATGTGTAACTTTCTTAGGCTTATTCTGTAGATGTGTCTCAGTTCTCTGTATTATATGTAAGAGATTTATAGCACCTGACAAATTTATGTAATAAACTCAAATTTGTCAGATGAAAGTGAAGTGAAAAAAATTGATCATCGTGAGTTTGATGATGTGTCACACGAAAGAAGAGACATAATTAGTGTATTCGATTAGATGCTCTTTATTTAAATTAGCAGGTTCATATCTTCAAGCAAAGCTCATAATCCTGCGCGATAATGTATCGGATAAGAGTGACAGACGAGCATGTCTATATCGTGGTTGAGAAATGAATAGGTGGTCCCTTAGACAATGACTATCCGAAAGTGAAGTGAGCTCGAATCAAGGCAACATTATCGGATTCTTGATCCCCTTTGGTACTGTGCACGACTGCAAGATGCATTCAGGTTGGAAGGGTGAGAAATGCACCCCCTTGTGGTCTGGAGGAAATTATCCTTTTGGCTTCTCATTCTTGGGAAAAGTAACCACTCGTTCTCGGCTCATGAAGGTAGGAATTTGCAAATGAATCAAATCATACTCGATTGAAAGGTTTTGTTCTTGATGACTTTGAAGAACGCCTTACAAATTTGCACGAGAAGAACTTTCTAGAATTGCAGTACAAGGGCGACTTGCACCACTGTCAATGTTTGACCGTTTGTCAACCATTTACTGAAACGTTGTGGCTTCATGAACGGTTGAGATATCCGTTTAACTTATTTTTCAACTTGCATAATTTGCGCCAGTTATCTTCACAACTCTTCATGGCATCTGTTTCGTCATCGCCTAAGCTCAACATTAAGATAATGTACATCCAATTGACAATTAAAAGATTCCGCATGAACCAAACCTCCAGGAAGGGAAGAGTCCGGACGGCTTGCGACCACTGAGACGGACGGAACTCAACCCAAGGTGCTTACCGTAGTTACTGTGCGCTATCTCAACTGTGAAAAGGATGGAATGTTTATGCTACAGAGGGTCAACACAACTGTGCAGTGGTTAACTTCACACGAGTGAATTTGCAGCCTGTCCTGACATGCACATTGATAAAGGTGAAAATTGTGAGACCTACTCGAAGCGAGAGGACATTTCCCCACCGGATGGTGACTAAAGGTAAGGAAGATCATGGTCTTGTCTTTAGCGGCAGGCAGGCTTGCCTTTACCTGTGTGCTTTGCTTGCTCTCCACAAGTCAAGGCTTGCCTTAAACTTCGGGCCTGCCCTTTGTTGAGACACGCATAGTGCTTTAAACATTGTATTCTTGCCCGTCCCTTAAGCCCCAGCCGGAATCAGCATGTACACGCCACCTGGCCGGATGAATACCGTCTTCGAAGTCGAGACGCATACAAATGGACGATTATACAGACGCCTACTCGACCCGCATTTGACCGCGTCGAGTTGGCGTAGTAACTGCGTCGAGTTTAATAGGAAGCAACCGAGGTTATTGGTGACTGTATGAGTAAAGTGATGTGCTTCACAGTGCGGAAGAATCTTCATGCGTGATGCATGCTCCCAAGTATTTTATACAAAACTGTACATTTAAATTTGAATCCATCTCCGCTTGCTTTCTGTGTAAGGCCTTAGACAGAGTGGGAAACAAATAAGTTTTGAATTTGACCAAAGCTTCAGCCCATGATAGACTCCTTGATTTTCTCTGAACTATAAGGGAAAAATTAAGTTCCATTATCGGAGAGAGATCAAAAGTAGTTTCAAGGAACCTTTCCAGGTGTGATTTATATATTTCTAGTAAGAACTAATTATTGACATTCGGATATAAACAACCTAAGCAGGTATGTTATACATCGTAGATTAGGGTTTACGGTTTAACATTCTTAATGGGAAATGATAGTTTAAGCAATAGAAAACAAAGCAAATTAGTGACTTATCTGCGTTGGAGAGGAACCCCCACAAAAGCAAAACAGATTATGAAAGAAAAAGAAACTTTTGTAAGAGATTGCGTGAAAACATGCACCTACTAGACATTGTCTAATCTTAGATAAGCATTGAAAGATAAAGGGACATTACCTACTAGCGTTCTCGATAAGTCCTATTTTTGTCCTGATTTGAGAGCTTGTAACCCATGAGATTTATTTTGTTAGTACAGAATGTGCATACTTGTTCCTACAGAAGATAATAATTCAAAGTGGGGTGGAGTAAAATCTAAATTCATCAACAGAGTCTAGAATCCAACACAGTTTCGCCATGAAGTTGGAACTTCTTAAGTTGTATCAAGATAGCCTAAGACGTTCAGCTCGGCAAAGAGTGACCAATGTTAACCTCCGCAACTCTTCTCAGAAAAACTTCTTTTATGCCTCACCAGTTTTTTGATTAATACTATGCAGTAGTTTTCTTTATAATGTTATTCAGACGAATTCTTTATTTATAATCGAGTTATACAAACTAACTATATAGTAATTTCAGATAATGTAGGTATAATAGAAGTTGAGGCGACATCCTTAGCATTCAAAATAAGAAAAAAATGTAAGCTGCATAAAAACTTAATACCACACTCGTACATGAGCAACAAAAACACAGATGTTTGGTGCAATCCAAGAAATACACTCGTTGCCAAAAAAAAGAAGGTAACTGGTAAAACTTTTAATAAACACTAAAGCACAACGGAGCCAAAATCAAGAAGCAGCCCTCGATGGAATACATAAAGATTGATAGTTTTATATATGTGTTAATCTCATCGGGGTTTCTAACGAGGAATACTTTCACATATCAGAATTGCAAAGCGTAGCTGTGGAATGCTCTAGAGCAAGATGTAAACAGACCGATTAACGGTCAAAGTCTGGAAGACTGGGTGACGCAGCATTAAACAACTTGTTACTTTGTACTTGGGAACTGTTGAGGCACAGTCCGTCCGGCACCGGTGGGTTGCTGCTGCTGCTGCTGCAGCTTGCTGGCTGAAAAATCCTCGCATCCAGTCCAGCTCAATTTCAATGAGAAAAGCGTTTAGGCTCTGGAAGAATTATAATAGTTGGCAAATATTAGGGTAAGCGATACACGTAGTTACATGACACATGCTTGATGGGCTGGGGCGCGCGTGACCTGAGCCATTGGCTATACTGTTGGAGAGTGCCAGCGATTCGGAAGACTACCTGGGCTGGAGTTTCCTCAAGCCATGAGAAGAATATGAGCATCTCGGGAGCGCAAACCTTCGGCCTCGGTGGGTTTTGTCAAACTGGATGGAAAAAGGAGCTGAGGCTCATGGTCTCTGGGCACAGTGTTTTTTAGGGCGGAATTATGCCGTATATAGAAGGTGCGAGGCACAACTGTGCGCCTGTTTAGCATTATTGCAACGGGAGAACGGGAGAAAGAACATCTGAGGCTTTTGGGTTCCAGTTTTTGTATGTTATTACAATTTGTAGATTGGAGAATCAAGTTGTAATTTGTTTGAATTGTAAGGTAGCATGTTCATTTGGGACGCTGACATATTGTCGTATGCAGTGAGTTCTGAGGCATTTCAAACCACCTGTTGGTTGAGTTGTTTTGCAGAGTCTGATAAATAAAGGAGAAGGAAAAATTCCTAGAACGCGCAAATGTTCATCAATGCGAGAATAACCCAGTTCTCTATCCAGGAACGAAGCCTGAAGAAGAAGACAAAGAAATGTGGATACGAATGATGTCGCTGATGCCTCCTCTGGCGCTCAAGTAATTTATTGTTCGGGCGTTCATTTTGCAGGGGAGGAAAAAAATGCATGATCCCATTTTCTCGGAGGGGCTCCCCGGTGCCGCGTTAGCGCATGCTCGCAATGTTGCAGGGACTTGGCCCCGTCGGGCACTCATGTCCGTCGCATGCATGCAAGTCAGAAGAGTTCCGACTTCGAGGCACACCGAAAGGTCTGATCCGGGAATGGGGACGGGGAACGAAAACCACGTAAACCAACCCTCGGACAGAAGCCAGAGGATGGATCCGTAGCTGACCACAGGATGGTGATGGCGACGAGCCGACCATACAGAGGAAGAGCAACAGCATACGGAAGAAACTCCTCTCCGGGTGCTGCTGCTGCTGCTGCGAGGACTGGCGCCTGGGAGCGTCGATGGACCCGCTGGCCTGCCTGCCTGCCTGCCCGCCTGCACATGGATGTGGCATGGGGGTCCGCGATGATGCGATGGGGCATGGCGGAGTTCGGGGCATGGCGCGGTACGAGTGTGGCGGAAATGATAAACTAAAGGAGCTCCTGCGGGGAGAGGCGAGGAGAGGAGAGGGCCGGAAAGGGAAGGGAAGGGAAGGGAGGGAGAGAAGAGCACGACTACGAGGAGGGCCGAAGTTTTGTCCGGGCAGAGCTGCGTGGCAGGGCAGGGAAAGGGAAGGGAAGGGAAAGGTAGAGGAGCGGAGGCAGAAGTAGAAAGGCGGATGGAGGAGGAAGAGGAGGAGGAGGAGGAGGAAGGTGGTGGGCAGAACAGTAAACTGGTGCGCGGGTGGGCGAGGGGAGGGGGAGGGGGAGGGGAGCGGAGGCAGCGCAAGAAAAGATTCAGCGGAGGTAAAAATGAAGGAGGAATTGATTAAATTAAGGAAGGGTTGGTCCCGGAAACCGAAAGAAGGGCAGACTCCACTCCCTCTCCACTCTTCTTCACTCACACGTTCTTCTCTCATCATCCCTCGTCCCTTCCATTCTGCTCCCCTCGGGCCTCCTAGCAAACAACAGCAGCAGCAGCAGCAGTCCACTCTTCTCGCGCATTGGCACAGCATAGCAGATCTCTCTCATCGTCGGTCAGGTCACATTCATTTTTTCGTGTGAGATCCAGATCCATTGTTCGCTGGTGCGGATTGACTTCAGTTCCCGGTGCACGAGTTCACTTGCAGGTTTCCTTCAGCAATCTTTGGATGCCATTTTTTCGAGGAATGGAGTGCTAGCGAGTTAGTCGGAGCGAGCGAGCGAGCCAGAAGGCGAGAGGGAGGAGGGTTAGAGGGACGGGAGCAACGAGCGAGCGAGCCAGGAGAAAGGAGAGGAGAGGAGAGGAGCGAGCGAGGGGGCGATAGCGAGACGAGTCTAGTAGACAGAGTTTGACATAGAGAGTGCAAGAGATGGACCGATGACAGAACAGCAAGCAAGCTTGTGAGATTATGATGATGTAGCGTGCACGGAAGGAGATGATGGAGTTGAAGTCAAGATGAGGATTGGCCATGCCGAGGTGGTGGAGTTATAGTATTGTTGGTTTCGGGCCCCGAGGGAGGGACGGAGGGAGGAAGGAAGGAGACGCAAGAAGTGGAGAGGGAGCGGGCGTGCATGAGAAAGAGTAAAGCCGATGCCACGCGATGCGATGGCTTTTGCGTAGAGTAGGATGTTGTCCCTGCAACCATCGTTGTGTGACCTAAGGTCCGATGTTGCGCTGCCTTGTGCGTGATTGAGTGCTCTGCCCGTCCCGAGTGTTCCAGAGGAATTGAGCCAGAGTTTCCGTTGTTGCACTTTCCCTGACCTGGCCTCTGTGCCCTTTTCTCTGCTGGTTGGTCATCGATGTAGATGATCCTTCTTCCGAGCCGAATTTCACGTCTCATCTGCTGCTGATGTTACCGTAGAGTTGAGGCCACAGTTTAAGCTTTTAGATAGATAGGGGGTGGAGAAAGTTATCGTGGTTTGGTCACCTACATATTTTCCTGGTGCACCACATCGTTGTTTGGTCGATTCGTGTAGAGCCTCATCTGAGTTGAGGGATGGATGTGCGAGCGCACGGCCGCTTTTAATTGTTGAACTCCGGCCGTTGGTTTAGCGTTTTGTTTGATTTCCTTCCCCTATTGCCCTGGAACTTTCCCTTCGTTCCCAAAAGTGAACATTAGATTTTGGTTCTGAGCACCCCGCGTCAACAGCAAATTGTGGCACTTTTAGATCCTTTACCTGTTTATTGCAACTTCTTACCATCTTGAATCCTCCCTTCCCTGTCGATTATCACTGGATACCTCTGAGTGGAGGAGTCTGCTTTAACAGTTTCAGAGTTTCTTATTCTTAAGCTTCATCGGCTTACCTTCAAACGAAAATGTTCGATTAATTCTTCCTCGCGTTTGTGCGGTTCAACTGTTCAAGTTTGTCCGGCGGATTGCCACGTCGGGTGGCCACCTTACCTCATTTCAGCGATGGGACAAGAGGTTGCGAATTCTGTGACTGTCACAGAAGGATCTCCAGATCTCGAGGCTCCAGTATGCCGCAAGTATCCTTTACAACAAGTCAGGCCACTACATGTGCAGGCTGCTAGATGGAACTTAGTTTTTGAATATAGATCTGTTGCTACGGATCGGTGCATGACATTAGGTTACAGGTAGGACTGCGCTTGCTTGATCACTTTTCTGGACTCAGACTTGTTTTTTTATTTTGGCACAAATGAATTCCTTGACTCGTGATAGAACCTTGGAGTACACTTACAGCAGGGACATTCTACTGTCCTACGCTGATCTGGAGACTTGCAAGAAGCTGCCGGATAATCTTGATCCACATGTCTTGAGGTACGTGTGCATGCAGTGTGCGGACACTTCAATTGCTGATGCGTTTGCTCTGATTTATTGTTCAAATTGTTTGCTTCCCAGCTGTATGTGAAGTATTATTGTGTTCGACTTCCCCCACTGCAGATCCGCACTTACTTTTCGTAAAACACCTTTTTTAAAAATAGATTTGATGGGTTTTGCCAATCCTGTGTTGGATCTTCACTCTTCCCAACCTTAAATTTGTGTTCCTAAATATGTATATATGTTCTTCATGTTCATCTCTTAAATGGAGCATGCCCTGATATTCTTCATTTGCCTGCACCTTTATGCAGAGGTGCTCACACGGCTGACAGCGTGGAGGGAGGCATAGCTATTCCAGCTGCATCTGCGCGTGGTCTGGTTCGTCGGGACAGGGAAAGGTGAGCGTTGCTTTCATTGATTTGAGGACCTTCTGAGATTGCACTATTTCAATTTAGAAAGTGCTTGGCTGGAGATGGGATGACTCTCCAGTTTTGATTCAGCACTTTGTTGCTAGTTGCTGATTGTCGTCCGTGCCTCGTTTTTCATTTTCCCACCCATATTGAGATTTGTTCATCATCGCCTGTGCGTTGGTTCGTGTTAGAGCCAGATGCATGCTCGCTGTACTTTGATCCGACATATTCTACTGTTGATCCAAGTACAACATGATTTGCAAGCCCTTTAGCCATTTATGTGTACCTCAGTGAGCCAGTTGGAAATTTTCTCTCTGAATCAATCCAACACTCGTCACTCGAAATTGAAACGCAGAAGGTTTCTCGTCTGGTCACAAAGAAACTTTATATTAAGTTTGCTGTGCATACTTGTATCTGATGAAGTTAGAGCACGAGAACGAGGGCAAACCCTATAGTGTTCGTAAACAGATCGGATTCCCAATCTACCTCTGTTTTATATCTCTGCACCCGATCGCTTTTCCTTTCGACTTGGTAGGTATCTGCCAGTATCGAATGTAGAGAAATCTACGAGCAGAAGAAGAACAATAATACACCATACAGAGACCTGTCTGAATGATGAGTGATTATGACTTCAGTTTATATACAGGCCCATCGGATTCAATGTTAGTGAATCTCAGAGGCTTGTTGGTGAAGTCACAAATGCATATTATGTTATCTCCCCTATCTCTCGCACAATATCAAGAGAGACCTTAGAAGTCGCCGTTGCGGAGTTTTTACGGTCTGGCTTATTATTGCTTGTGCTTGCAGTGAATTGTACAGCAAGTCACCACAGGATATTCCAGAATGGCGGAAGGATTCCTGGAGAGCAGGGGGCAGTGGTACTTCCTTACAGCCAAGCCAGAGGCGGAAGCCGTTTGATGAGGAACCCCCTGGTAATGCTTTCTCGACAAGCTACCCACCAAGACCAGCAGCAAACTGGGGAGACAATGTCCATCTACGGAATTCATACGATAGGCCTGGGCCTACGCTACAAGGACAAGGATCTGGAAGATGGGAGCACCGCGTAGGGTTGGGAGATCGAGAGAGAGAAAAGGGTCGTCCAGTTCCCAACTGGGAGGGTGATGAACCAGGTATTTCCTTCTTTGTCCGCAGTAGTATACTTTGTCTTGTAACCTTTTAGGACATCTGATTTGGTATGTATGTCATTTACCGGTTTGGTGGTATGTATCAGTTCCAGTACCTATTGTGGTTCCAGATGGTCCACGAGCCTCTTTCGGCGGTGGTAGTCCCGTTGTTCGTCCTGGATGGATGCCTGCCGAACGCGATGGGCTTTTGGGGAGTGGTGGAAGTCTTCATGGTGGAAGCCTGCACAGGACGTACACCGGGAACTTTACCACCCCACCTACTGCTCTCAGAGGTGGTCCAGAGCGCCATAATAGCATGGGGCGCATCAATAGCCGTACCAATGAGCCGTATCTGGTCTCTCGGTCGCTGAAAGTGGTAAGTGGTCTGTTTACCTTCCACGCAGTATGTATGTGATATTATACGCTTGCAGTTGTTTTATCTCTTTATCTGGTTGCCACGCGTGAAACTACTAGTGTAAAGAATCAGTGATCCTAGTTCTATATCCTTCCCCTACTCATCGATCTTACCTTCCTGTTATTTATTGACTGTAGCTTGCTACCGTCGTGAATATTTAATGTGTACTGTACTTTCGTCAGAAGGTACGCAAGGAATTCTGTTGCTTTGAGGAATGCCCCATCATTCAGATGTCTACATCGTGACCTAAATTCGATGGTATTTCGCCTTAGGTACCCACCTTTACACGACGTGAGGACACGGACTTCGTGAATGATGAAACTTTTGGTGGCTCCGAAGAAATCTCCAACGAGGAGAGAGCGGAACAAGAGCGAAAGCGCAGAGGTAATGGTTTTTTGACGTGTTTTACCGAAACCGTAGTGATTTCCACGTAATGGCATGTGCAGTCGTGTGCTCTTTAATCTTTACCGCTGGTTTCTTCCTTTTATTATTATACTCATTGCATATGGAAGGGTTTCTGAGGATAGTTTATGTTTCCATCCTTGCTGCAGAGTCTTTTGAGTTGATGCGAAAAGAAAACCAGCGTGTCCTCCAACATCAGCAAAAACTGCTCACTCAGAAACAAGAAGAGAGACTGGCAAACCCTGAGGCTATCGCCATCAGGAAGCACGATGAGAACACTCTTTGGGACGACAGCATTACCGGGGAAGTCCACTCAGCAACCTCCCCAAGATCACCAGAAAAACACTCCCCAACTGAGATGAAGGATGCAATCCCAGCCGGAGGAGGACCTTTGTCTTCTGTGGCACCTTCCACACCGCGACCTGCCATACCTCCCGGTTTTGCCAAGGTTATACAACAAATGCAGACGACACCAAAAGCACCCGCCACAAAAGAGACTCCTATGGAGGTGAGTGAGTGAATTTTCAGGGAGCATGGCGATTTTTTTTAGCAAGATTACTAGTCTTCGACTTGAACCTAGGGCCTCTCAAGAGCTAACTATGTACAAAATGTCCAAGCTCTGACAAATAACATGTTTTGTTCCTTTTCCGATCAGGGAGACAGTTCCGAAAAAGATACGTCGAAGCAGGTACCTTTGCAAACTGAATCTGCACTCTTGTCGAAGGAAACTGTCGTGGCGGATGACCCTGTCAAGTTGGATGATAAATTGGTCCCGGTCTCACATGATTCTCTCGGTAGACAAGCTGGGGTTCATACTTCTGTTCCCATGGCCATGACACGTGCGGAGTCAATGAAGATAGTTACTTCTGCAAACGAGGCAAAGGAGATAGAGACTCCACGGTCTGTTGTTTCAGATTCAAACGAGGAACGGGGCGAGGGTTGGAGTTTTAAGATAGATGGCTTATCTGATAACAAGCAAGGAGCCTCAGGCGATGATGTGAAGGAGAATATTTTTGTAGGTGTCGACGAGTACAATATAAGCCAAGAGTCGTTGCTAGATAAATGGTTTGGCAGAACTAAACCCGGTCAAGTTTCTGGAAAGGATGGGCTTCTGCCCAGTCACCCTCTGGCAGACGAGGTAATTTTCCATCTCACTTACATAATCCTATTACGTTTCTCCCCAAGTGGAAGACATTTGAAAGAAGCCCAAGAAACTGACAATTCGTGTTCTCAAGATGACGTCTCGTCGTCTTTTAATCGTCAGATGAAGTTGCTTTGTAGTGTTTTTGCGGGACACGAGTGTCCAAGAGTTAGAATACGTGATATGTGTTGGTGATTATAATCATGATTACAATGCACTGGTGATTCGTCACTTAAAAAGAACTCTGAAAAACACATTTCTCGTTGTCTTCAGCCACGAAATAGACTTCGCAGAGACGAATCGTGGACGGAAGGTGATTCGAAAATGTCTAAGTTTGCTCAGTGGTTTCATCAAGAAGGTACTTACGGACTTTGCAGTAGTGAGTTACACCAGGCAAAAATGTTGATTGAATATTTTACCCAGAAACGGCTCTCACTTTGATTCTTTGACAAGCTACCAAATAATGTTATTCCTAGAACAAGCAGGAACATAAACGTCGTGACCCTTTCACGCGTTAGAGCTGTCGTGCAGTCCACTTCCCGTCGGACTGTCTGGATGAATAGTTGGAGTACACTCGTACATCATCATCTCTTATCAATTGGGCATTTTCCTAGAATTATTGAAAAAATGGATATCGTATGGTCTTTGTGTCAGCCCTTCACTTGATTTCCTAAGATGATTACTTCTACTCCTAATGTGCTAATGAGCCCAGAGGTCGACCTTTCTCCTAGTTTCGTTCACCAAGATTCATGTCTACGTTGTTGAAGTTCCAAGTTTTGACAATTTCTTCTCTCTCTGATTCAGAGAAGCAGCAGTTCAGGGAAGGTGCTGCAGCGTCTTCTGACATCATGTCATTATTTCCAAAGGGTGGTTCTTCAAAGGCTACCCCGAGTTTGTCTAAAGAACAGGTCGTTGCCGAAGCTCCGAAAAGAAGTCATTCTGTAAATTATTCCAGAAATCATGGCCGAGTGTTGCCAATGCCGACTGGGCCCTCTTTGGAAGACATTGAGAAGGGGCTTACAGCAAACGCAAATGCAGCTGCTGATCATGAGCAGAGTGTCACCAAAGAGTCTATTCTCCTAAGTGCTCTCTCTTTGAAGAACCTAGAAGTTGAACATAAAGGTGATCAATTAACCGGCATATTTGGAGAGCATTCTCCCGTTGGCAAGTTTAAGTTTCAACCTATTCCACCACCACGAGCATCATCCTCTTCTAAATCGTCCCCCGTTTTTCTGACATGTGAAGATATTGAGCAGTCAATGCTTGCCGAAGCAGGCACTAACCCTGAGAAAACCATCCCGATAAGTGCTCGAACGTCGCGAGTCGGTCACGAGGCAAACAGGAAAGGGGAACAAGGCGGTCAAGCCGCGGACACCTTAGCCTCCCGCCATCTCTTGTCTCTTTTGCAGAAAGGGGCTCCGGAACGGAAGTACTCCAAGCGGGGTGGTTTGTCCCGGACCGAGTCCTTTGGGGATAAAGACGTTTCGGATGCAGATGATCACAGCCATGGTGGTGATTGGACTTTGACTTCCAACAGTCAGGAGGCCGGCGGATCTAGCAAAACTCTTCAGGGCGAGAATCCTACTTTGGAGGCTTTGTTTGGAAAAGCTTTCATGAGCGAACTACGGTCGGTCGAAGCTCCAGTATCATCCAAGACCTTTGCAGGTGATTATTATGGTAATGGTGATGGAACACAGGCTGTATCGGGTGCTTATTTAGGCAGGCAGTCTTCAGGGAGGATGAACAACTCTGCTTCGAATTCCAACAATTCTAAACCATGGCTTGGAACTATTGGACCATTGTCCAAAATGCCTTGGGCTGAGAGTAAGATGCTGGAACCTAACAGGCTTGGACATATCCCGGATCTGCCTGGTCCCCGTCACAAAGGCAATCACTACATGGTTCAGGATCATGACGAGACTCGTTCTTCACCTTCCTCGGGTCATGGCTTCTGGGGTAACGGTGTCAATACCCTCATGGCCAACGGGAGTCCTCCGCTAACTACAAGTGGTGGACTCAAAGGAAGTTTTGCTAGTAGCTTGGAGAGTAACTCATTCGCACTTGGTGACGTTGTGGATAACTCCCCCCGAGGTAAAGGACATCTGGTTACTGTACCTAGTTCTGATCTAGACATCCGCTCTAGTACCAAAGGAGGTGGTGAAGGGGAGATCGTTACTTCCGGAAGCTTCTCATCTGTCCAGATGAGGGCATCAGAAGACACCGGTCCAACTTCGACTCAGGGGAAAGTTATTCCCGGGGATGAACCTAGTAAGGGTCCAAGCTCGTCTTTTGATTCATCTGGTCTTTCAAAAGTTTTCAAGGATGAAAGTTTGGCCAAGAGAATGGCAGGGGATATTGCAGGAAAGTTTACGATGACGGAACATGGAGTGACCTCAAGGGAAGAGAATACCACTATTTCTAGCCAGGGATTAGATAGCTTTCTTTTGGCTTCTCACAAGTTAGATAGGAAGGAGATTTCAGAGGAGCTTAGTAACGGTGACAAACTAGGTATAGCTGACGAGGTTAACTCTGGAAACGATAGAAAGATGACAGATGCTCTGTCCGAAGCTCTGGGCCTAACTGGCAAGGTGAAGGATGGAAATGCCAGGGCTTCAACCGCAGGATTATCAGAGCAAGCGAACGCAGGGTCGTCGCTTTCACGAGGCAGTAGTTTTTCAAACTCACGATTCAAGGGCAACTCTGCTGGAGTTATGCAACCAGTCTCAGGCTTCGCATCTTTCCCACCAAATGCTCCTCTACAGCATCAGCAATCGCTTGGAGCGGTGTACAGATCTGATCCTCCACCCGCGTTGACGCTTCAACCACGACAGTCGTCTTCGATTCCCGTTCACCATCACTTACAACAGAGTCCAAGTTCTGGGGCATTATCCATGTTTCCGCCCCAACCTTTCCGTCCTCAGCCAGGGCTACCCCAACAGCAGCAGCTTTTAGCACCCTCTTTCAGTAATGGAAGCTCAATGGAGTACCCTCATATTGCCTTTGGACATGGACCTACACCTGCACCAAGCAGGCCCATCCATTTCCCACCATCACCGCACGGGCATTTATCTCCTCCAGGGGCATATCATCCAATGGGGCACATGGGGCCAGCTCACAATCACTTCATGCCAGCTGCGCAGATGCCCCAGCGAGGACCTGTGATGTCACCCATGACTGATGCTCATGTGTACATGCAGGAACAGTCTTTGCACGATCCACACGGTTTGGGCACTAAACCAGGACCTCCCCCAGGCCCGGCCCTCTTCCCTCTGGGTGGTCATGCACTGCATTCTCCACAGGGCCCAATGTTTCACCAGCCTCTTGGTCACAATCTACGAGGACAACACAACCAACTTCTTCAAGTGCAGGCACCGTGGGTCCCTCCATACGGTTCAGAATTCATGAGAACTGGGAGCAAGGGACACGAATCACCGAACTTCGTGAATGGTAATGGAGGGGCTGTTGGAGGAGGTGGGACTGCGCTAGACAGGTGGTTTGGCATGGACCTGCCGAGGAATCTCTCTGGCATTCCCACTCCCGGGCTCATACAGCTCTCACCCCATGGGTTGGAGGCAGACAGTAAAATGCGATTTGGATAGAGAGATCGTAGTAGCATGGATTATAGGATCCAGGCTTTTGTCTCTACATGTTACGACATACATGTGACAGATGTGGGCAAGTCGCTGTATTTACGAGAGGGATGTAGTGAGTTTGATTCAAAGCCCTTTGGGAGAAGTGTCAGATTGGTTTTATTGATTGCTTGATGTAAGTAAACTGAATGGGTACTACTGTATATGCGTATGTATCTGTAGTCGACTGTTGGGATGGTGTTCTTCAGAGGACATGGAAACTCATGTTTATTTTGCTGAAGCCTGTGGTATTCCTAAATGCTTTCTGGAAGACTGTAACAGTAAACATGGTGACATGGGTTGGTAGTCATGATCATCGAGGTGTTTTCCCTGAAATTTCTCCATCATTTTTTGGAGTAGTAATGCGACCGGAAAGGTGCCGTTCTCTGGAATTTCGACAGATCTCTTACTTGGATTACTGCGATGGCTCCATGCCGTCAACTGGAGCCTTGAACCACTGGTAAGCAAGAAGAGTTTTGGCGAGTTCACGTGGAGGCTGCCTCTTTAAGCTCGGATCAGAGCAGGAGGGCCGATTAGATTCGAAAGCAACCATTGGCATGGGAGATTTCAGCGATGCGGGAACAATTGTTTGTCAGTTCGAATGGCAAGCAGTTGAGGGTGGGGGGAGGGGGAAGGAAAGGAGCAAGTGCACATGCTGTGGGCGGAAAACCTGTGTACGTACGTACGTCGTGCACACTGGACAAAGATGCGACGGATTCTGAAAACAGTCTTCAAAGGAAGGTGTGGGATAATCTGAACTCCAGTGCCGGAGGTGCTCCTGCCAAACTTGTATGTATTTGACGATAATCCTGATTGTGAAACTTGCACTGCAGCTTTGATGTCTTTAAACATTTGCTTTGGAGGTGGTGCCAGTACTAGATAGGTCTGCTATTGTCCAGCCATCTTAGGATTATATACTCTAGCTTAAGAATTTCCAGCAATTCAAAGCTGCTGATGTATTGAGCCGACTCCACAGTGGTAAATGGATCATAGAACAAGCGACCTTAGTTCCTAGAAAGTGCAAGTATTGCACATTTTACCCCGTGTTCTGATCAAACAGGTGTCTCTTCTCTCCATCAAGGAGAGGACACATATGGTTAGGATTAGTCCTGGGAGTTAGCATAGGAGGTAACGTATGTGTATGTATCATGAAAAGGCTAGTGTGAGGAATACATGTGCTGGTATATTCAGTGGATTGTGCCCGGCTGCTATTCCAGAGCCGAGTGTCTTCTTGTAGACTAATAAATCGACAAGAAGGTTGTCCATGAGTTGGGCTCTATTGCTCGTACGCTCACTCGCACCTTGGTCGAGCTACCTTCAAACATCGTATTCTTCTGTATAATCAGCTTACCTCAACCACGTTGTTCATGCATCACATGGCAGGTTTCATTTGAAGGCTGAACGAACATCTTAAGGACGTGCAGTTCACTCCACTTTCCAAGATAACTACCGCTCAATGACTTTTAGTCCCAAAGCAGTGTGTTTTGATTGTTTCAATTATCTCCATGGAGAATACTACCTAGCAAAATAGAATTGTACATTGGTTACGCCCTGATTCTTTGAAGGAAAGTAAGCTGTAGAAAATGGATGATTTAAGTCGAGATTGCCTTCCTTTATTTATTTCCTTGTGTTGTTTGCTTCCATTAAGATAGAAGTTGGTGCTTGGCATCTGTTAATTTATTTTACAATAACGTGTCTTAAGAGGCTCAATGATTTTTTTGGCATACACGGAGCAGTAGGGAATGGAACTTTCCCTAATGCGCCGTGGAATAAAGAGTGAGACTGGTGAAGTGATAGCAAGGTTGAATATCGGCGTTATTCCGGTGTCCAGTACTTATTCCCATGTTGGCATTGACTTCTGAATGTGGAAGGGCTGTAGCAGGTGTCTTCAGCGATGGCGTAAAATATAGTAAAAAATGTTTGGAGACATTGTTTAGACTCAAAGTTCAGATATTTTGTTTTCTTGCTTCAAATACACGTTGAGTGCCTAGATCTCCACTCTTTGACGATGTAGGTCTGGAATTCATGAAGGAACAAGTGAAGCGTAATATAGGTTGTGGACACAATTGAGTTGTAATGGATCATAAAAATGCAACAATATTCGTGTGAAAAGTGATTGGACGTAAACATCAAGGGTGGAAGATATTGCAGATCTTGATGAACCTCATGATCATGGACTATGTATCTCATTTAATAATACTAGTTGGCTTCATATCTTGACAACGGTTATTTGCTTTTGTTATCTGGAAGTTACGTACGAGGGGAATGTTGCCACCCGGAAAGTGAAAACTCGGGCAGGGTAACCAGATGTTCACGGAGATGTCCATCTCCTCACTGGCTGTGTTGTCATGTGACGCTTATGTCTTGGGACGAATAGTTGAACCACATTGCAGGCACCTGATTGCCGATCGGAATGCAGGCAAGGATGAGTCAATAGAAAACCTGGAGAGATGGAACGCTATCTGCGAAGTAATTTACGATCAAGCAGTGCTAATATCGGGGTAGTGTTGCTTGATCAAATTAATCTAAGAAGGTCATTCTGGTACTTAGCCGCCTGCCTTTCTTAGCAAGAAAGGTAGGCGCTGTACTTAGGAGAAAGAGGTGAAAACAGAGCACAACTTCAAATTTGTACGGATCTAAAGAATGTTGTCGGCGCTAATGAGTATGAGAAGGCCAGTGTAGTAGGTGGATGTGCGAATCTTTTTAACACCTCTTGTGAGACAATACGACCTCTGATTCAAACTTTCACAAGTTTCATAAAAATCGTTTCTCTTGGGAAGCTTCATGTGGATTCCAGGATTAAGCTCTCAAGTGGATATATCATGGTTAGTTCTGGTGTTTGTAGGCTCAAACTTGATCACGTTGAATAGTAAATTGCGAACATGGATCGAAGTTCACATAGTATGTGACTATGTGAACACAACGTGACAAATGATGCAGACTCTGCAAAGATGCCTATGTAACTCTTGAATCAGAAGGATGTGAAAGTGAAAGTGAACCGTCTGGGCCAAGTCAATTGGATGCAGTTCACATGCACAGCCAATGCAAGGAGATAAAATGTTGAAGGTTCAATCTAGATTGAATGATAAGGGGACTGCGAAAGTTGAAGAAGCTAGAGGTTGTCTTGTGGCTTGGATGGTTAGATAAGGGGTGTTATTACTTTACAAGCGCACCGAGGATCGGTTAGAGAAGTGAAATTTGATCGTCGAGAGGATTGGAGAGTAGAATTGTTGATAATATATGGGAAGAATGATCGTCGAGAAAATTGAAAAGAGATATCATTCAGCGACAAAAGTAAAATTACACAGAAATTTACTTTCAAATTAGATCAATCATTGGAGAGGACGGAGGTAACTACGCAGTTTTGACAGCAGGCACAAAGTTGTGTTCAATGGAAACAAAGTGGATGATGGAGAGAGCACTATCGATAATCATCTCTTGTGTAGTCTTCTTTCATATGGTTTACTTCTTAATGCCAAAATTTTATCGCAATATACAAATTCATTACATTGCTTTTCGTGGGAATGATCTCTTGCCACGCAGGACAGAGCTAAGCAGCGGGTCCCACGCCCATGGCTACGACTCGGTACCTATAAGCACACTAGTGAATATGACCTTGACAAAAGTCTGGAGAGTTGTTCATGTCGTCTCAACAAAACCGCTTGTCCAAAGAACAAGAAGTGATTGATTCCTTTATCTACTGATCCCCGAAGCGCCTTCTCATTATCCATCACTCAGCGGTGGAATCGATTCTTTAGTCCAAATTAAGTACTACTATCATACAGCATTACACGTCGAGATCCCATCTGTTGCAGCAAGGCATAGCGCTTTGGTTCAAAAAGTCGTAAATTTAGAGTTCATTATCAAGAGTGGAAAAAATCAACAAAATGTATCATACTTCACTGTGCGTTATGATTCTTCAGCAAAGTCTGAAGAGATGCAAACTGATTGATGGAATAAATTTGGAAATCGATTTATTCAAACAATTCAGTAAGTGATTCCAGTTAAGTGATTTACAATTGCATTCAAACAAAATCTATTTGATTGAATGATTCGTGTGTCTTACAAAATGAGCTTAAGCGAAATTACTTTCAAAATTCTTCTAATTGGCAATTTACAAGTCAAGTCTCCTCGCCAAATCCCCTCGACAAGTAATCAGTACGGTGGTTTAATCTCCAATTCTCAAAGTCAATTCTGAGAGGTCAATAACTTTCTAAGTAAACGTTACTTCTTCAATGTCACTTTTCAAATCTTTTTGTACTTGATGACACAAAATCCAATCCACTGGGCTTGTGTTCCTGCCAGCATCCGCTCCATAGCGATTCTTTGTTCCTCCAGTCTAGTGTTTGAGAATCACAACTCCCAAAGCTCGTTAGACCAAACATTTTGACGCTGAACCATCTTATGCATGAAAAAAAACCTCCATGTAATATCCATGCAACGGTTCTCACCCGGACACATACTCGGATGCGAGCTCATCATAAGGAAGAAGAGAATTGCAGTAGCATCAACAGCGCGTTGAAGTTGCTTGTATACAGTTACCATTCTCTTCTCCTTAGATATTTGCACTTTAGGTCAAGTAATATTGCCATCTTGCACCGCAAGGTTCTCCAGACATATTTCAAGAAGGTTGGCAATTGGAGTCTAGACTTGACTCAGCCTTATGGCCAACTCATATAGATTATCTCCCCATCTTCCAACTTTTTTTAGTATATTGCTTCACTATCTCTAGCAGATCCACTATCAAGTAATAATTCTTAACTATGGGTAGAAGGGATGTTATGTAATTTTTGTCTTGCGATTACATCCCATTCATAAGCAATTTGATATCTATTCTATTGCAACAAAGTCAACCACTTCATGGAGGAGTACAAACTCACCAAGAAAGTCAAAATGTACACCACTTTGTTTTCTTTTCTCACGCAATCACGCACCAAGCTATTGTACATGCCGTACATAAATCTCTCTCCAATTGATTTTTGATTTCTTAGTCACAAGAGCTAAATCTAGATGCATCTCATGCAGAATGTACATGATGCACAGACAAAAGTTATATTGGATCACATCAATACAATGTCTTGTTTACTTTTTGATCAATATATTTAATCCAGTACTCCGTTCTCCTCTTGGCACTAGCTAGGGGGTTCTTCTGGTTCTCTCCTAGTTTGCAGTTATATTGTTTGTATTGTGTTTTTCAGCCTTTTGATCTTTTGGGTCGCACGAGCTTGATCTATTTACCATTACCATCATAAGGCCTGGAAATTACCACAATTACAAAAATTAATTAAAATTATGGATTCTAGTCGTCTTAATGTTGGAATTTACTGGAAAACAAATCTCAAAGGCACGCTATTACTTGATAATTTTCTGAATCTGATCTACATCTGTCTTCCATAAATTGACTTCTTCATGTGTGGATCTTGAATATGTATGAAAGAGTGAATTTTATTTTGCACATGGATTGCTTATTGTACTTTACCATCTGGTTGATTATTCTTGAAGAAAATCATACAAAATCTCAGTGAATGATATGTTTTTATCAACTATTGTTCATTAAGTTGCAGTAGTTTGCAATTCATATTTGTTGTTCATGGAATTTAATCTATGTTCTGTTTTTTTTCCCTGTCGTCATTTTTGTTTCTTGTCTTTGTTGCTTTGAAATGTACTTCAAACTAATTGAAGCAAATCTTGAGATATGATTAACATCAAAACTTTTAAATTTCAATTATTATACTTGGATTTATTTTTGAAGGGAGTGAATTTATTGATTATAATATATTTAAAAAAATTTAAGTACAACTCTATTGTTTAATTGAATAAGTGCCAAAAGATGCAAACTCAAAAGTTGTGTTTGGAATGAACCGTCAATGAATTACACTCGCAACGACGTTAATTTTCAAAAAAATTAGACACAATTGTCTTGGGCACATGTATCTTTTTAAATACTAAAAATACACTCATTCACTTGATCATGCATTTAAACTCGGAGTGATGAAATTGAATTCAAGAAATATAGTTTACATGCACATGAATCAAACTCGTAATGATTTTTGAGATCCGACATACATGAATTGAAATCAATTAAATTAACAGCAACATATGTGAATATAAAGCAATTGAGATTATAGTGATTTTTGATACATGGTAATTTTTGAAGGTTCGTGCCAACAATAGTGAGGAAATACTGACCAATTATGTAATCATCCAATTCTGCCAATTTTGCAAATTTGATGCATGTTTGATCGTAGTTGCTGATATATGATCAATGTAAAAATTGAATCAATGTATTTTGACACGATAAGAAACATCTTTCATAAT